CTGGATTTAGTTTATATTATAAAGTTTTCGAAAAAAACAGACTACGAAGCTAATTAAACTTTCTGTCAAGTTTGTTTTCCTCCCTATGGGTTTTTTCATGTAAAATAGTAAATTTACAACTTAACAAGAGAGAATCATTCCTAGGGTAAAAGTTATTTTAACGCCCAGAATGGAAACTCACTTCGTACTTCAGGTAAACCGGAATAGGAAGCCTGGTTTTAGAGACTAATGAACAAACCATTTTCCAGGAGGAATAGAAAACATCCAAAGTTTTCAGATAGTTATTCAGATTCAGATATCTAATATACTAGCTTTTAATATTTTCATCCCATGCCTGTAACACCCACGATAATAGGCTGACTTGTTTGACACGTAAATTAATTGTCCATCGCAAAGGGGTCGGTCTAGAATAAAACTCGATAAAAAGCATTTTCGGGATTACCCTCTTAGAGTAACGATAAACACCTCCCTTGGGGTACGCGTTCGAATGGAAGGCCAAAACCCTGCGCAGAGAGAGGAGGAGCAAGTGTGTGGTGCGTGAAAAGCGACCCGTGTGCATGAATGTCCGGTTCAGTCGACGCGAACTTCTACACTCTACTGCGATACCCACCCCCTACCGTGTGAGACGGCGGATACCAGTAATGTAAAAAAAAACGGTGGTGTGTAATTTATCCTGTTATGAGACTCGTACGCGTCACATCAAAAATGTCGTGGCAAGTGAAGCTGTACGTTGCTCCCTCGCGTACTAGCCCAAAACAGGGTGTACCGAGGATTTGTCGAGGTTATCCGTGTGTGACATATGTGATTAATCTTCTTTGTGTCTGATTTGTCGTTTACATGTCGCGAGCGTACTAACCTTGTACTAGAATTTTATATAAAATAAATTAAAAAATAAATAACAAAACAAAAAACATTGAGTAATAAAAATAATGAAAGACGGCTGTGATTCACCCCCGACACGGGGATGGACGGGGATGTACTGGTCAGGACCAGGACCCGTATTTCGGCCCCTCAGCTAGTGTCTCAGACACCCTTAATTTTCATTATCTTCGACTAAACAAAATTGTGTTTTTTTATTATAAAACTCAAAACAAAGAAACAGATGAAGCCTAACGTAAGTAAAGACAATACTTATTAATGGGAAGAAAATTTTACTGGTTCCTATGTACATACTTCCATCTTATACCACGTTTTACGCTCTCGAACTTTGACTACACTCGTGAACGTCTTTTTTTTTTACACTCGAAACACACCGTACTGTAAATGTGAGACATATTTTATGAGGTGCATAGACACTTGATTTAAACTTCAGGTGTCTTCTTTTCTTCTCTTACACATCGAACATCTTTTTTTTTATTGAATCCACTACTTTCAAGTGAACTTCTTTTTATAATATAAAAAATTTATAATTAAAGGTAATGTTGACGGGTTGAACCAATAATGTCGGAGAGTTTGAGTCAGTAATGTTGAAGTGCTTAGACGAGACACCGGTCATATTTTAGCTGCTTAGACGCCGAACTGAAAACGATGTGACGACGCCCTACTTCCACAGGTGATTTCGTCCCAAAGAGTTTCAACACCCCGCGCGGGGTGACCACCCCTGTCTCTAGCACTAGTCCACCCAGCGCTTACCTACGGCTAATCTTACGCCTCATAATACACCTAATAAAAAAATTATGTAAAAAACCTGGACGTCCGGCCTTTAGCATTGGGACCCAGGAGCGCCCTCACTATCACCTGACATTGCGGCCTCTGAAGGTTGCCGACCACCTGAAAGTGTCGGGACGAGGCGCTCGGAGCCGTTCACGAACGTTATTCACTCTTGCTACCTACTTCAAGACAATCTGTCGATAGTATGATTGTTTATAACTTGCACACTTACATACGTTACTACATACCGTAAGTATTACATTTAGATTAATGTCAATTGACCACCTTCACAGGAAGTAAATAAAGTTTAGTTTAGTGTTTTCTAAAAACCAATATCTATAAACTCTGCAAATCGCCACGTGCTCACGTTTGAAGCCGCCGTCGGGCAGATCTGTTAGTCTTGACGCAGGATGAAACTAAACGGTCAATACCTCCAACAGGTTTGTACCGCCTGGTAGAGCGGTGTACGCGTCACGCCTACCCCATCCCTATGCCTGAGCCCATCCTGTTAGGCGAACCGCTCTCCGGACATGATGCGTTCGGCCAGTTGGATTGGACCTATACAAACTCATACGCCAACCGGATAGGTTTTGTATGTGCGAGAGCGATTTATGCCCCAGATGCGCGCCTAATAGTGTCACCTGAGCGAGTTTCGGTCGGCACCGGTAGATCAATCC